GTGTGTGTGTATACATATATATACGTATATATAAGCGTCAATGTGTGTCATTGTTTATCAATGTCATATGTCTAAATAAAAATAAGTATAAATTTTAAAGAATTTTTTAATAAAGAATTTTTTTCACTAATATATTTGGCCTATTTCGATTACTAAAAAATATTATTCGCGACAACAACAACGTAACGATGTAATTCCAACCTCGCTTGTAATTATATTTCTCGTTCTTCTTAAACTCTCGCATAAATTCTTAGGCAAAAGATTATCGATATAAACGAAGATATCGATCGCTCTCGTAAAGCAACGATGTCCGCACTACCGAATCGATACGTTAGTATAGAAGAAGAATGCAAACGGAATCCGGAACTCAAGATGTCAGATTTGCAAATGTTGAAAGATTGGATGGAAAAGCAACCTCATTTGCCGCGAACAGAAATGTTGTATCTTGTTATGTTTTTGCACAGCAATTATTATCGCATAGAACCAACCAAGAAGACGATAGACAATTTTTTTACTATAAGAACGCTTTTACCAGAAGTATTCTGTAATAGAGATCCAATCGCGTGGAAAGAATTGCGGAAAGCCTTTTCTGTCATGTGAGTTATCTTGACAAATTATTAAAATTACCAAGTATCATAAATATTATAAGAATATAAAAAAGAATTTTAATAATAGAACAGCTATACCACTAGAGCAAAGAACCAAAGAAGGATATATAATGACGCTAGCTAAATTTCTGGATCCAGATCCTAATAAATTCGATTTTTTTGAATGCCATAAATATCTATTTATGACATGCGAGGTGCAAAATGTGACACTAGGCACCACCGCAGGGCAACTCATTATCCTTGATGCAACTGGTTTATCGCTTGGCCATGTGACTAATATCATAGCTAATATAGTCGGAATGAAAAAAATTTTATTCTACATACAAGAAGCTGCTCCGATTCGATTAAAAGCCTTACATATACTGAACGCTATGCCAATAGTAGATACGGTATTGAATCTGATGAAACCTTTTTTGAAGAAGGAATTGATAGATCTTGTAAGTCGACGAATATATTATATAGATTTTAAAGTCTGTCTTGTTAGAAAAAAAAAAAGAAAAAGAAAATCTACATATTATATCAACTGCATATATATTATTTCAGCTACATTTTCATTCAAATATGGAAACTGTGAAGGAATTCTTGCCTATCGAAGCTTTGCCAAACGAATACGGTGGGAAAGCGGGATCTGTCAACGAAATAGCTGCCAAGCATATCAAATTACTGGAAGAATATCGCGATTGGTTTCAGTATGACGAAGTTGCTGGACGAGTGAACGAATCCTTGAGAGTTGGCGAATGCCAAAGTATAGATAATTTGTTCGGTGTGGACGGTAGCTTTAAGAAGTTAGAAATAGATTAATCGATGGAATTCAAATTTCTTCAGAAAAATTTTTATTAATTCTAGTGCTTTCTCTTTTTTCTCCCCCTCTATCCTGTTTACCCTACTTTCCTTTCCTTCTCTTATCCTGCTGCTCTTCTCTCTCTCTCTCTCTCCTC